AAGAACATTTCTGGTAACACTGCAAACTGTAACTTTAAGATTTTTTTGAATTAACATGCAAATCTTAGACCAATAAGTTTTTGCTTTGTTACAGGTCCACCACATATGCAAAAAAGTACCCTCCTTATCCTGACAACCCTAACACTGATTTGAAACATTCTCAGATATTTTCAACAACTTATTTGGAATTAGATATCATCTGTATATCATCTTATACATATTTCCTTTTCAATTATTGCACAAAGTACATTTTGTATCTTTAGTTCACATATTTCCTGAATGTAATAACCTTGTTGATATAATGAGAGTTTGGGCCTACAAGGAACCTTATATACCAGGGTAGGTGAACTACTGGCCTTCCAGATGTTTTGGATTCAATTTGCAGAAGCTCCAGCCAATATTGCCAATGGTAAGGGACTGTGGAATTTATAGCCCACACTATCTGGAGGGCCAAAGATTCTCAAGTTGTGTTGATACAATGTCTTAAAAGTTCTTTCCATCATATTAAAAAGGAAGAAGTTATTTATATCTGATATATAGGACATCTTTAATACTAACATTGTTGCTGTTGTTCTATGCCTTCAAGCCATTTCCAACTTATAGCAAACCTAAGGTTAGTGGTATCATTAGGGGGTGTGGATTGCATGCAAGGGGGCGCGGATTGCATTGGATGACGCCCCGGGGAGTGGTACACTGAATGGGACTGGCTTGGCTGCTGGGTGAGCAAGAAAGGGAACTGCATTGCTTTCACACTTGCCCAATAGCCACGTGAGACCCCAAATGGCTGTCTGGAGCACTAGCACTAGGGTCACCCAGTGGGTTTCAATGGTCAAATGGGAATTCGAACTCTGGTATCCAGAGTCATAGTCCATCACTCAGACTACTACTACACCATGCTTCCATGCTAACCTAACCAGCATTAAAATAATACAGAAAATAAGCAAGCAATGAGAATAAATAAAAAAACCCCAAAACACAAGATACAAATGCAATTAATAAAGAACTAAATTTAAATTAGTGGTGGCCAACTGAAGACACATGCTTGTTTTTGGAAAGTAAGGGCCTTTGCAGACTGCTAGAAATAGTGCAAACTGAGTCCACTTTGACTGCCCTGGCTTGGTGCTAGGGAATCATGGGAATTGTATTTTTTTTCTGAGACATTGAGCCTTCTCTGTCAGAGAGCACTGGTGCCACAATAAACTACAGTTCCCATGATTCCCTAACACTGAGCCAGGACAGTTAAAGTGGACTCAATTTGCACTATTTCTGGCAGTCTGCAAAGGCCCTATGTTTCTGGTGAGTAGTTATAATATAGAAAACAAAGTGGGCAAAGTTGTACATAATCTCATTTGTTTATTATACTATAAGGTGTCTAACATTTGAAACATACATTAATAATAATAATAATAATAATAATAATAATAATAATAGTAATCTGGTAATATCCAAATCTTATGAAGAGTGGTTGAATGAGCTGGGTATGTTTAGTCTGGAGAAATGATAATTAAGGGGAGACACAGTAGCAGCCTCATCTCTGATAGTGACAGAATATCTGATGGGCTGTCATGCAGAAGTTGGAGCAGACATGTTTCCCATTGTGCCAGAGGGAATGACTAGAACCAGTGGGTGGAAAGGGAGGGAAGCAGCTAAACATTAGGAGCTTTATCAGATAGTAAGAGCAGTTTGAGAGTGGAATGGTCCATCTGAGGAGGTTACCAGCTCCTCTTTTTTCCAGGTATTTAAGCAATCTAGAGGACCATTGGCTGCATTACAGATTCTGCATTGAATAGTGGAGTTGGACTACCTCTCCAGTGGTCCCCTGCCAATTTTCAGATTAATTAGTCGTTGAATCAGTTAAAAGAATCAGTTAAAAGAGAGTCAAATTAGTACCTACATTTATTGATTCAGTTGATCCCTGCAAGGGATACAGACCTGGCCCTCCAAAATGATGCATTTGCCATATTAATATGGGCTGTATTCTCATTGTTTTGCACATGGTTCCAGACATATCTAGGGCTATCTGCCAAATGAGCATTTTTAAGTTGGGACCAGTATGTAAAACAGGTGAGGGATGTGTGGCTCTGCTGATGTTGTTCAACTACAACAGCCTTTATTCCTCACCACTGGCTGAGCTGGATAAGACTAATGGGAACAGCATCTCAATAACTTCCACATATTCCTCATTGCCATAATAATAGTCAGATAGATCCTACATTTAGAGCAACCTATCCATTGATGTATCTTGTCTGCAAAATCTGAGCACAGCTATGTGGTGGTAGATGTAACAGTCATAATAAATTATGATGACAGTGATGATGAAAGGTGAGACATCACAGGCCAATATATATAAGTCATAATAAGCAATGGTGCCTCAAGGCTATTACTCAAAGAGAAGCCACATAATGACATATGAAAGAGCGCCAAAATGAATGCCAGGAGTCGAGCCAAGGCAAGTCAGATTGATCACTGAGTACACAAAGTTGTTTCCACCTCAATGAAGTGTTGTGAAAAGAAAAGGAAAAAAAAATCTTTAGATCTCTGAGTCTGGTTGGAAGCCAAATGTGGGACTATGTGGGAAATGAAAAGCTAAAGAAAAAGAACACTTCCATCAAGTGTGTGAACAGGGTATACCATGCACAGAGTTTCCCTGCACATGTAATAATAATCTCCCAGGCTTTGTCTCTGTTGTTAATGAATTTCTGTCTGGCAGGATGAAGGCAGGCACACCCCAGGGAATTTTCCTCTCTGCTCACACAAGGGAACATTTTAGATCTCATCAGCATATATAAGTGCAAGAAGCAGTATATGGAACCATGTAAGGCAGGGGTAGGCAACCTTTTTGAGCCAGGGGCTGGGTTGATGTCCCTCAGACAATGGGGGGGGGGGCCCGAAGCACCAAATATATATATATATATATATATATATATATATATATTTAAAAAAATAAATAAAAAATATATGCATGCACACTCTCTCAGCCCCAGAAAAGCCATGGCAAAACCTCTGTGGGGATTTTGCCAAGAAAACCCCAAGAACAAGTAATAACAACAATAATCAATATCATCATGGCGGGGGGCGGCGGAGGCGGCAGGACCGGCCTGGGGCCGGTCCAAAGGCCTCAGGGAGTCGCATCCGGCCCTCAGGCCTTAGGTTGCCTACCCCTGATGTAAGGTCATGGGCTGGATGAAAAGTTATATCAAATTGTAGAAGTGACTTCACGTCATCATCACTGTTTTTCAAAAGGCGTACAGTTGCACCTCTGTTTTTGCAGACTTCGAGTCCGCATCCCTTGCCCATTTGCAGGGGGCAAATGGAGGGGATTAAAATGGGGCTCATGCCCATGGATGCCCACAGGAACACACCGCCATTCAAGCCAATAGGGCTTGAATATTGGCATTTTCTTGGGGTGGTGGTGGTGGTCCGGAATGGATCCCCCATGAAAACGGAGGGACAACTGTATATTGTTTCTCAGAGAGGCTGTTAGATAGGATTAGAACTAGTTTTTCTCTGGTGTAGCAAGGGGCACCTGTCCCATTACTAGTCAGATTTTTCTGGCAATGTAATCAGTTTCTGGGAGCCAATGTGGCATAGTGGTTTGAGTGCTAGACTATGAATCTGGAGACCAGGGTTTGATCCCCATCTCGGCCATGAAACCCACAGGCTGACATTAGGCAAGTCACACTCTTTTAACTTCAGAGGATGGCAATGGTAATACCCCTCTGAAGAAACTGGCCAAGAAAATCCCATGATAGGTTTGCCTTAGGGTCGCCATAAGTCAGAAACGACTTGAAGGCACACAACAACAACAACAACAACAACAACAACAACAAAGTCAGCTTCTATAAATGGAATGGGAAAGTGGCTACTGATTTGTTCTTGGGACAGCCTCCCATGAGATAGATGATCTCCTGCCTCTGGTAATGACGTGTATTTGTATGCAGCAAATCACATAGCTTTCATCATTAGCAATTCCCCTAGTGCCTTGTCCCTCACTGGAGTAATGTATCAAGGTGGAGCATGGTGCCAAGGTGAGGTGTTCTGGGATGTCCTGACAGCTCAACCCCATTAATAGTTCAGCTGGTCTGTGGCTGGTGGGGCTCCCTAGAGCAGTTAGCAGACTTGCATTTTCCATAGCCATCACACCCTCAGTGCCTCACTCTGAGGAAAGCATGCACTGGATTCCTCAGAACCTCAGGCAGCTCTCTTAGGGCCCATGCCTTCTGTGGCTGGTGTGGCTCTACAGAAAACCTTCTTGATGTGTTGCTCTGAATTTTTTCAGACTGAGGACCCTACTACACTTGGGGAAAAAGTCTGAATGGACTTCCCATCTGTTCTGCCCCTCACCTATGCTGAAGTTGCCCCCATCTTTTTTTTTTAATCCATAGCAGTCGTCAACACTGCTGTGACTGTGGTCTTCTCCCACTGCTGCCTTTCCCATAGCTCCCAGAGCCAGGACAGGCAGGAGCCATCATTTATCTTCTCATCCAGAACAACGCTAATATAAAGATTATTCCTGGTTGTGAGGCACTTAGCACCATGTTATGACCTCAGAGCAGTGCCAAGAAGGAAAAAAACTTAATTCCAGGTGGGGAACTGATTTTTCCCTCTTTGGTGATGGCCACAATGGCAAGCTTTGAGGTCACAATGAGGCACTGGACACTTCACAAGTAGGAAAAAAACTTAATTTTATGTCATTTTGGGTAGGGAAGGTAAATGGCTGCCCCTGCCAGGAAGCAATCTGTCCTGACTCTGGAAGCTGACAGCAGTGGCAAGAGCTGATTGACAATGGTAGCGGCTGACAGGCAAAATGTCCTCCTACCCCCTCCTCCTGAATCCAGTGTGAATTGATAGGACATACACAGGAAACACCAAAGTGTCTCAATTCTTGGAAACTCCACCACAAACTGTGAGTTTTTAAAATCCACATTAAGTTGTTTTACTTTGAGTTACCTTGCATTTACTGCTGATCAGACTCTGTGTCCTGTGTCCTGATCATGCCAGGCTTGAAGAAAATGCTATGTGTCATCTGTCTTGATTGGCACAGATTTGCAGACAATTCAGTTTCCCCCCAGTATGTATACAAACCCTGAGATACTGATGGTGAAGGTAATGGAAATACTGTCTTGACTTGGGCAAAAGGACATCTCAGGCCACCACAGATTGTCTTTCATGCATGGTTGAAAAATATCTTGAGTCAGCTCTGTTTTAGACCTTGACTTCATTCCTTTCCCCGAGTAATATCAAAGTCCAAATATCTTCCATATATTTCATCCTACTCAATCCACAGCATTTAAAACAAAACTTCAGAGTAGGAGAATAATGTGGTGGTGACGAGATGAACCTCAGATACCTTCCACCTCAGCTAAACATAACCTGGTGATTATTGTCATTGCATTCATCCAACTCCTGTCATCTCACTTTGACCATTAAAACACTACAGAGCTCCTTGTAAGGGGTGGGTGATTGATTCCATGTCAAAGGGGCTGTGAATTCTCTCTAGGTTTAAAAGGAACTATCCAAGGTGCTGAAACATATCTCCAAAACATGTTTAAAGTTCATATCACAACCTGGAAATGATTCACTGTTCCACTGACAAGGAAGCCACCAGCTGCCACTGTCTTCATACACTCAGGTCCTCAAGTTGTTGTTTTTTGTAGAATGGCTTCTAGTTTTCCAGAGGTATCCCATTGGCCACTACAGCAAGCAGAATCTTTGGACTATATATACATTTGGTATGATTTGGCAGGGCTCTTACATTCATTGTAAGGACAAAAAACAAAAACAAAAAACAACTAGGCTGGCACAGACCTCCCAGAGGGCCTTCTCTGCGACCGCTCCCAGACTATGGAATGGCCTGCTGGATGAGATCCGTCTTATTACTACCCTTACTGCTTTCAAGAAAGCAGTAAAGACGGATCTCTTCCGGCAGGCTTTCCCGGAATAATACCCTGGCTCTAGCGGAGGTTACCTTATGCCCTTAACCCACCACCATAGTACATGGACATGCCCAAATTGTTTACTTTGTTTTTATTTGTTTTTGTTTTGTTTTTGTTTTTATTATGTTTTTAAGAATAGTTTTAACTTTGTTATTATAGTTTAATTTAGTTTTAAGGGGTGGGAGGATTAGGGTGTGGGATATAGGAATTTTACATTGTCTCTTGTTTTTAAATTATGCTGTACACTGCCCCGATTGCTGAGCAGAGGGGCGGCTTAGAAATAAAACTTCTTCTTCTTCTTCTTCATCTTCATCTTCATCTTCATCTTCTTCTTCTTCTTCTTCTTCTTTTCTGAAATTATGAGAGATCACGATCACTAACCATGTTACTGGATGATTCTGGGAACTCCTATAAAAATGAATGTTTTTAAACTCTGGAAAAGATTATACAACAAAACAAGATTGTCTCTTGGACCATCTCTGGAAAAGCATTCCCCTCCACAAATAAAGAACTGCACTGTTCTTGGAATAGACAATTGGAGACATGACACATCTTTCATGATCAAGTAGGCACTAACACATTGGGATCTACCAAGCCAAATAGGGTCCAATGTCACATATTATGTCTTACTAGGCAATGGATAGTTTTTTAAAAACAAGAACAACTGCTAATGCATGCATTGCCATCATTCTACTTTAGGTTTGTTTATCATCAAAAAGTCAAAATTAGTTAGCTATTTGGCACAATCAGAAAGGCTATTTAGAGTAAGGGCAGTGTTTGCTTTCTTCACTCTAATGTGGCTTCGTGCTAGTCTTACATTGGCAACTTAGATTAGAATGCAGAGCCTTGAAAATTTACTTTCAAAGACTATGGCCTTGTTCACACTGGCCAGGATACCCCATGGATACTTCTTGTTACTCTATGTTAGTCTGTAGAATCATGTGTATTGTCTGAACAGGACGATGTTAAAATGGGGGTAGGGGAAGAATGGGTCTTTTGCCCAGTGCACACAAGGCCTAAGATGCCTGAAAAACCTTAACTAACATGACTAAGCTGCCTGAATTATAACATTAGAACATTATGCTGCTTATGTAATTCCAAGTTGGTTGGAATCATTCCAGGAAACACTCAGCTTTTAAAAATAATAGCACTCCTGCTGCAGACTGAAGAAAAAAAATTGATCTATAAAAACTGTAGAACATTGTATGAAAAAGTAAGAATGGTTTCCCCAATAAATTTTTGATACCTTTGAAGAAAACTACTTTTTGGTCCTCCTCATTTTCACGGGACTAAATTCAGTGGGAATAAGAACATAAGGGTCTGGATTCTTTCAATTAGGTCTGAATCACTCCTTGCAAAAAGGCACCATGAAGTCTATGTATTGCTGTACAATCAAGCTTCAGAAACAGGTGAACAAGGCCATGAAACACCTCAGCTTTTAGTTGTGACTCATCTTGGGATGGGAGCTCAATGTGGTTATGATGGGAATTCCTTGATACATGTGGCTACTGGAACTCTCACCCACTTGTATAATTAATTTTGGCCTGGCAGTTTTTCCTTCTTTGAGTCATAAGAACTGCACAATTAGTAGACATTTCACAAATGTGATTTCCCTAGAGCATGGCAAGAATACTTTTGGATCACAATTGTCCAAATCTCTAGCCAACATAGAATTCTAGAAGTTGTCCAAAAATTACTTTTCCAGTCTTTGAATTTTTCTTTGTCTGCATCTCCTTTTAAAGAAAAAGCTTCAGTTGTTGTCAGTTGTGCAGCTCTTAAAGGCATGTGCACCACCAACAAGTGGTAATCTGGGGGCCATTTACTCTATTTACTATTGTGGTTTTCTAAATTAGGCCAACATTTCCACTTTAGCAATTCCAGAGTGGATTGTGGGATGAACTCTATATAGCACACTCTATGCATATGTGTGTTTGTGTATGTGCCTTCCAACTGCCTGCCAACTTAAGACAGCCCCATAAATTTCATTTGGTTTTCATTTGGCAAGGGATACTCAGAAGTGGTTTGTCAATTAGTTCCTCTGAAATATATAGTGTACATACAGCATATCCTGCAGTTATTCTGCTCAGGGGCACTAGGGTTATTCCAACTATATACACTGAGAATATACCACTTTATTCAGCTGCAGTCAAAGCAGAGTGCTGTGGCTAGTTTTGAACTATATAACTTAAAAAAGGATGTTGAAATTTTAAACATATCCAGTACACTGTGCCTTGGAACAAAAGCAGTGGCAAGCCCAGGGAACAAGTCCTGTGAGAAAAGGGTGAAGGACTTTGGCAATCTTCAAACTTTACCCTGGAGAAGAAGCATTTAAAAGGCAGCATTAGGAGCCAGTGTGGTGTAGTGGCTTGCATGTTAGAGTATAACTATGGAGACCAGTTCAAATCCTGGCTCAGCAATGTAAACTTACTGGGTGACCTTGGGCAAGACACACTTTCTCAGCTCAGAGGATAACAATGGCAAACTCCCTTTGAAGCAACTTGCCAAGAAACCCCCATGATAGATTCACCTTAAGGTCACCATAATTTGGAAACAACTTGAAGGCACACAACAAAAACAAGAAATTATGGCAATTTTCAAAACACTTGAAGATGGAGAAGCACATTAATTTTCTATTACTCCAATGAACAGGATTACTAGAAAAATGATTAAATATCAGTAGGAATATCTGGATGGTTCAAGCTGTCTCATAGT